AAAGTGATCGAATTTATTAGAATATTTGTAACTTCATTGATTAATATTTAGTTTGCTCATTTTTGTAATTTTCACTTCGTCTAAAGAATTGTAATAACTCAGCAAACGAGAATGGATTGAAATGAATTGAAATGGATTCAGATTTTCAGAAATATTGATTCACGAATGTTAAAAAAATGAATGCTTTTCAATCCTGAATGCATTTTTATTCATTTATAGGAATTGCATATCTCTATGCCTTTTAATCTAAAAATAATATTAGTTTTTTCTGTGCATTGTGAATATTGTCAATTCAAAATTTTGAATAGGAAATGTAATTTTTCAATCCAATTGAATTTAATTAAATCCAATTAAATCCAAAAAAAGTTCGCTATTTAAAATACGCATTCGGATAGAAAAAAATTTCAATCCATTTTAATCCATTCTCGTTTGCTGGGAAACCTCCTTAAGTCGGCCTCACCATGTAAAACAGCTATAGCACTCAAGAGACTCAGGTCAAAGTCTTGCTACAAATGCTTTGAAGCATTTGATGGATCAATTAGAAGAAAGAATTTTACAAACTGACCAATTAAAAAACGCTTCAAAGCGTTTGCAGCATCGCGTTGATCGTATCCTCATTTTACAAAATTGTGCCCAGCAAATGAGGATGGATTAAAATAGATTGAAATTTTTTTCCGAATGCGTATTTTAAATAGCGAATATTTTTATTTTATTTTATCGGATTCAGGTGGATTCAATTAGATTCAATTGGATGCAATTGGATTGAAAAATTGCATTTCCTATTCAAAATTTTGAATTAAACAGTATTCACAATGTGTGTGTTGTGCACAGAAAAAGCTAATATTATTTTTAGATTGAAAGTTATAGAGATATGCTCCATGCAATTTCTATAAATGAATAAAAATGCATTCAGGATTGAAAAGCATTCATTTTAATAACATTCGTGAATCAATATTTCTGAAAATCTGAATCCATTTCAATTCATTTTAATCCTCGTTTGGTGGGTGCATATGGAATTTTTTAATCCTTTTTTTACAATCCTAGCTAGGTATCAATGATGTTCAGCCCAAACTGGATACAATTCTTAATCTTATCTTTGTACTTTAAAATACATGATCGAAAATTTCTCTACGTTTTTTTTTCATCGGGATATTTAACTTTTCATGAAATATAATATACGAAAAAATCACAAGTGTTTCCTAACTTTTGGAAGTTCTATATGTATGTTATTATTCTTAAATCAATAACATAATTTTTTTAAAACTCTTCTCTCAAATGATGAGATTATGCATTTTTCAAAATTTATATCATTACAGTTGCTATTTTATTATTGTAATCAACGTAATAGAATATAATTATGAATAAAATATTTGTTGCTTGAACTATATGTTGTTTTATTAAGTCATTGTTAGATTTTTTCGGACATAATGCGAATAATATTACTAAATAAATTTTTTTCAAAATTAGTCGGAAATATAATATAGTATCAAGTATCATTATTATTGTACTATTCAAGAAAATTATATATTATTGACATATTATTATGATATATCTAAAAGAATTTTTTTTGAAATAAGAGATACAATACGAAGCTCTTAACAATAAGACGCCAAAAAAAGAACAATTTTATTATGGATGTTAGATTATCTTTATTATTACATTTGTGTTTAAAAGACATAACTTATTTATAAAAATATGGGAAGTGGGGCAGAATATAATAGGACCGAACAAATCCTTAGTTTGCTTATAGAATAGTTAATACTAATAAAACTCAGTACTTTTTACAAGTTACACGGAATAACAAAATCTAGTAATAATCGGTCAGTTATCTACCCTATTGTAAATAATTGTAAATTATTATAGCATAATACTTAAGAGTTATATCGCATTTTTAACACAGAATGCTGGTGTATCAGAGAGCAGTTGCTGTTAAATTTTGAACACATAAAATCGCTTTTGCTTGCTCAATAATTTATATTATATATAATATCTACGTATTGCTAATTTTTTTTTTAATAAATGAATCGAGATTGCAGATCTTTATTCAATACTATTTGGATTTCATTATCCTTTTAAAAATTGTACTTTTAGTTGCACTTTTGTGCGATTATTTCACTTGTGAATATTATATTGTGAATATGTATATGTATGCATATGTGTGTGTGTGTGTGTGTGTGTGTGTGTGTGTGTGTGTATATGTGTAGATACACACGTACATGTACACGCATACATATATACATATATATATATGTATATGTATGTATGTATTTTGTATGTACAATATATGGATTTGTATATAGTTTTGTATATAGTTTTCTTAAAATACTTATTTCTCTATACAGAAAATATTCTTTTTGTCTTTCTTCTCATTTTTATTACTTAACAAAATCTATATAATTTTGATGATATGCAAGGCAGTTCTAAAGATATGTAATTTGTTATAAAAAAGTGATACAAGTAAAAAAGTATTATCTCTCTCTGGAAAATGTATGTTTATAAAGCAAGCACTGAAATTGCATTGGATTCATAATATGCTCAATGATTAAAGAAAAGCTCCGTTACACCGTTGTATGTAATTCAAAATTGCATCAAGGATCGCGTTCACAGCAATTCTTAGTGCAACAGCAAACTGCATACGACATATAAAATATGTTTATATGATAATAATATAATGGAGACATGTGATTATACTTTATGCAGTACGTCTTATGGAAGTATAGCAATATAGCTAAACTTATATGCATAGTGTATAAAAAAATATGTAAAAACAGTTTGTACAAAAATTCAGGAAAGAAAAGATAATTATATAAAAGTACTTAAACAGTAAAAGATGAGCGAATAGAAAAGATGAAGGAGTATTTACATTTACATTTCATCTTTCGACATAAAATTAAAACAGAACCATTCTCGAATTTCACAAACAGATCGTATCGATAATACCAGTAATTTTCTTCGTGTAACATACGAAAACATGTATCACTGGCAATATATTGCAAAAGCGCGCGCACGAACTTTCTTCATCCCGCAACAATAGTTAATTCTCTTTTCTCTCTCTCTCTCTCTCTTTCTCTCTCTCTCTCTCTCTCTCTCTCTCTCATTCACTTACTCACTCACTCACACACATGCACGCATACACATTTCCTCTTTTTAACTATCTATATTTATTTCTATTTTGCAACAATGTTCATGATGCGTTGTGATTACCCATTACGCGTATCGTCCGTATGCATCGTAAGTATACGATTATATTAAAAATGCTGTTTTGGCTTTGGCAGAAAAGAGATCAGAGAACCGTCCTACTGCTCCACGCCGAGTACTTAATTTAAGGTGATCAATACACCTAAACATTAATATTAATGATTACGCTAGCTTGTTTAGTAAATGATTTTTCGAGGGATTTAGTAGCGCAAGTTGAAAAAATTGAAAAAGAGAAAAGAAAGAAAAGGAAAAAAAGTTGGCGCGCCATACGCAATGGAATGTCTATGTATGGAACAATGCTTTGCAAGCTGTACAAGACAAGTTCTCTGAAACTCCCGTCAACCGTACAAATTATAAACGTTGTCTTTTCGCATTACATTACATTACATTACAATACATTACATTACATTACAATACATTACATTTAATTACATTACATTACATGTTGCCAGTACAAGCTGACGTTTCAATTATATTAACTAGTAATAAACGTTTAATCTATTTAGAGGCCATTTGGAAACGCTGCGTTTCTTCCAATATAATTTAACATTTAATAGATCCATCCGTAGAATTTGCGTGTCTTATATTCTACGGAATTCGAAGGCACAATTCATTACTTATTTTCCATAACTTCGTATTATAATTGCATTTAATGAAAATTGTTTAGCAGTTATCGCATCGTTCAAGAAAACGATTAACTGAAAAATACAATAAGGAAAAAGAAAAATAAGGGAATTCACATGCAATTGAATTAAATAGACTGCACATTAATTACATATGTAGTTGTCTCCGTGGAATAACAGACACAGCAACGCGAATGATAAATCTATTGCAGTATGTACAATTATTATAGAGTAGCAAGGTCTCGTTCCCTTACTTATTATTGTCCATCAGAGGTCTTCACATTGGCAAGTCGAAGGCACCGTTTATTCATTGAGCTGTGTATGACGCCGCGACAATAAAATTCGATAGATATCAAAAATATATTAAATACATATATTAATACATGATTAGTCAAATTCTCTGTACGTAATTCATTATATAATTCTGCTATAAACATTTGGAAGGCCATTACCAACTATTTTTTATAAGTTGTGCGATTCTCGTAACTTTCCTAAACATTATCATCATATTAGAGAGGCACAATCGGTTTTGTAATTTGAATAATTCTAAAGCTAACGCCAAACTGTACGGGATTCGTAATTCGTCTTTCATACTTCATAATAGATTCAGAGCTATTTGTTGTTTGCAAATATTAACTTATAATATTAACTCATATTATAATATATACTTATATTATAATATAAACTTACATATTATTAGCCATTTGTTGCTTGTAATAATGTAGCTCTATACACGAACTAACATGAATTGACAATTCGTAATGATTTACGTATTTTAATTTGCGAATAATTATTCAGCATATGTGATAAATGACAACTCGACAGATCTGTCTCTATTTATCAATTTTAATGGAACTATGGATCTCGAATCACGAATAGCGTATAGTCTAGCATTAATTTTATAACATTTCTGATTATGGAACTCTTTCACTTATACACTTTCAATATACATATATATTTGTTCGTGTATATTCATATGCATCAATGTTAGATAAAATGTATTGATCTGATTAATAAATATATCAATAATTAAAAATGGATTTATATTTAGTAATATAAATAATGCATAACAAATGTGTAACTGCAAAACTCTTTTATTATTCATTCTCAACACTGATATCTATTAATATATAATAATCGCGGCGAGAATGCATTTTTTTACCATAGTAACTCTCCCGATACACACACATACACACAAATAAACCAAAAAAAAAAAAAAATAAAAATACCTTCTTGCCACTTATCAATTACGGAAGAGCTCTTCGTTGTTAACATTTTCCTTCGTCCTTTTCGACGTCTAGACGCTTAAATTCGACGAGCTAATCACAGTTCATATAACTTTCTACTTTCTTTTCTTTTCACGACTTATTTGCGTGAGGAAGAAAATATCATACTATCGGCCTCATATGTAGATCGCCTCGGAACCTTTGTTACTTTGGTGAGCGCCGCCAGCACCGTAGGCGTTCGTAGGCGAGGCCATGCAATCGGACCAGTCGCTATTCGATCGGGGCGAGCTCGAAGACCAATGACCAGGGCTATCCGGCGATGGCGTCGGAAAGCTCTCGGGCGCTTGCATGAGATGCTGTGGCGTAACATCGGGTCCGGAATGATGGGACGGTGGCGTCAAGTACTGATAGTATTGTTGTGTTTGTTGTTGTTGTTGTTGCTGCTGCTGCTGCTGCTGCTGCTGTTGTTGCTGTTGCGTGCTCTGTTGCGGCTGTGGCTGTTGCTGCTGCTGCTGTTGTTGTTGCTGCTGTTGCTGTTGGATCTGCTGCTGCGTTTGCTGCATTTGCTGCTGTTGTTGTTGTTGCTGTTGGCTTGAGGAATACGGTAAATTCTCGAAATCAAAGCCCACTGGCGGCATGCTGCCATGTTTCTGATGCGTCGCCTGCCGCATGGCAGCGATATGAGTTGGCGAAGTGGGCAACGACGGTCTATTCTTCGCTGGCGATGGCGAACCCATGTAGCTTGCTTGCGGGGAAAGAGTCATGTTGGACTGCACCGAGTGTGGTGGCGATTGATTACTATACGGCGGCGACAATGTGTTTACCATGCCCTGTTGCTGCCGCTGATGTGGCGCTAGAAGCTGGTCGTGAAATGGCAGCCCATAGTTGCTGGTGAAGGTATCTAAGCCGAGTTGTTGCAAACCTTGCATCGATTGGTTTTTGATGCAATCCTCATATGGTGGAGGCTGTTTCGCTGTCGCAGTGTGAGCCACCAAGGGTAAGGCGTTGCTGTAAAGGCTCGCGCTATCATACGGGCTAGTTGGTAAATTGCCATCGGCACCTTCTGCTCCCTGTGGAATCTCTTGGTTTGGGGGTTGAGCACCGCGCGGTTTAGCCGGCGGTTTCTTCACTGATGGTTTTCGCCTTACCATCACCACCGCGCCGCCCTCTGACTCTGGACTGTTTGGGTTTCCCGTACCTGCTTTTGGCCGCTTCTTTGACTTGGCTTGCTTCGGCGCCGAGCCGATTACTGTGGGGTGCGTGATTAATTGCGGATGATTTGAAGATCCTGCAAAAGAAATAATTATGTTACGTAACAATATCAAAAATATTTTATTATTAACATATTTCATGTTGGGCTAATTTTAAATTAATTGATTCCTACGCCGCGCATGTCATTGGTGACTTGATGATCCTCCCCATGATATTTTTGTTATATTTGTTAAGAAATATATTTTGTAATGATTAAAAAAATTACAAAAATTATTATAAATAAAGAAGAAAATTTAATGCATCAATAAAAATATATATATTATAATGTATCCATACATGATATCAAAAATAACTACGTTTCTTTTTATAATTTTAATATTTTTCAAAATATTAAACGATCTAAACGGACAGTCTAGCGTAAGACACTGTAATGACCCATGCGACATGAAATGTGTAATAATGCCTCCAATCTCTTTTAAAATAAGATAATTAAAATACGAAGGTTGGTTCTATCCTGTTATATTTAGCACAATTTTTTAAATATAATGTATAATTATTTGTCCAAAAAAATCATATGATTTAAAATTAGATATGAAAAATAAAAATCTATTACATTAAAATCATTAAAATAATAATTCTTAACAAAATTTATTATCAATAATAAAATGTTTCTTTAAAAGTGAAATATTTTATGATATGTATGTATATAATAAAGATATTATAAAAACGCTTACCCATGAGAGGACCATTCGGAATGACTGTAACCATCTGCGGTGACCTTGGCATATGTTCATCAAGTAGTCTGACAATGTCATGATGCAATCTTTCGCTTGCGACATCGCGAGGTAACCGATCCATGTGATCGGTGATTTCCCTGTTAGCAAATGTGTCTAGCAATGCTTTGCATGCTTCAAAGCTGCCCTCACGAGCCGCTAAGAATAATGGGGTTTCATCTTTATCATCTTGAGCGTCTCTGTTTGCACCATGCACTAACAATATGTTTACAGCGTCGACATTGTTGACCGCTGCGGCCCAGTGCAGCGCAGTTTTGCCGCTATTATCGGCTGCATTGATGTCGGCATCAGCGTTAATGAGGTCTTCCACCATTCCTTCAGTAGCCAAACGCGCCGCTAGTATTAATGGCGTGGTACCATCGTGCATTCGCGCGTTCAAATTTGTCGCTCGATTGCGTAGCAGAATCTGGAAAACTCCCATAGCGTCAGCCGCGACAGCAGAGTGTAGCGGTGTACGACCGGTGTTATCCTGTGAATTAGCATCGGCGCCCGCGTCCAGCAATCTCTTGGCCGCATCGGCCCGGGCGTAACGTGCGGCCAGATGTAGCGACGTTTCACCGCTCTTGTCTGTGGTAGCATTTAGATCCGCACCTTGGGCAACGAGATCAGCGATTACAGCCGCGGTTCCGTCACTCTCATCCTCTTCCTCGCCAGTATCAAGTCCGCCACCACGTACCGCCGCTACCATTAGTGGTGTCATACCACATGGCCCACGCGCGTCCACATCCTGACCATGCTCGAGACTGGGTGGTGTCAATACACCGCCTGCGTCCGGCCGTCGTATCTCAGCCGCGTCCAGATGTTGCTGTGTCCACATACGCGGCTCGGTCTCCTCGTAATCTGTGATAACGGTATGATCACTTGCGTAACCTGGCTCGATGGCACGCATTCGTTTCGATGGAGGCAGATCAGACTCGTCGTCAGACCATTGAGATTGTATTCGAGCGCTTACAACATCCATGCTCATGCAGTTCACTGATGGTTGTTTATTCAAGTTACGCATTTCCTGACCGTCCGGACCGCGCCGACGTGACCGACGTCGCTGGCCACTGCCGCTACTGGTCCTTAAGAAGCCCTCTGGGAACCATGTAACCCCAACAGCACGCTTTCGTTGTGCGGTCACCAGAACGCCCACTAGCAATCCACCGAGCACCACGATGACCACACCGATGAAAACATATTTATAATTTGTCGGGTTATCCGAATAATCCGTATTCTGAGTACCTACGATACTACGCACTTGTTCGATGGGAAAGTTTAGCGATAACGGTTGCTTCAACGCCGCAGCGGCCAAATACTCGGCCGCCTCGTTCGCTGATGAAAAACATGACGTGCCCTGAGCTAGAGTGCATTTGCGATTGTCGATCTCCAGAAAAGTGACAGCACCTTTTCTATTGGAAGGGGTCGTCAGTCGAGTATAAATGTTAAGAAACTTATTTTTCTCGGGCTTCCAAGGATATATCATTTCATTGCCGAGTTCGTCCGTTTTAACGCGAAGCGTTGTTCTTAGATAATGACCGAGATCACGTAAGAAGGTTGCGATGTTAGTTCGGAAACTATCCACGTCCATTCTCACAGCTATGGATATGACACCTTCTGCCAATGACGGCGGTTCCTTATCACAATCGAGACCATCCCAGTCACATTCTTCGTTGTTGCAGCCATAATCGCAATGGCCGTTAGCATAATGCTTTCTGCAGTACGCATCATAGATCGGGCTGCAAAAATAAATAATATAATAAATATAAAAATATTACACATATAATTATAATTAATAAACAGTTTGTAAGAATCTTTTATTTAATATATTCGTAATAAAAAAGAATAAAAACTTATTACAGAAATGTACATCAAAATGTTATAAATATGTGCTAATAAATAAAAAAATCATTAATAGAAGAAATGACTGTAGTATTATCAACTTTAATAATAATAATTTATTTTATAATGCATATATTAAGAATAATGAACATCATATCATACAACATACAGTATTTAATTAAGAAAAGAAATTTAATTAAAAATACTTACTTGCAAGGGGGAAGTTTCGGACCACAATCTCTGCCATCGTACAGGCATTGCGGATTGTTGCAGACTTCGTCGCATACGCCGTTCATGAATAATTTCCAGCAATCCACAGGCGCGGTACAATTGCGCCATGGATTAACGCCCAGCGAGCAATCGTTACCGTCAAACTCACAAGCCAATCGATTGCATTCCTCGTCGCAGCGTCCATTATTGTATTTAGCCTTACAGTCGTTTTCGACACATTTCTGACGTTCGCGTTCTAAATTAATGTCACTCATGTTTTTGGGTGTATTGCCGAATATTCCACCAGGATAATTTGAATCGTATGTATCGCAATTCTTGCCAGACCATGTAGGAGGACAGTCACAAGCGTAGTCACCAATTTTATTTATGCAAGGGGCATTTTGCTGACATGGATGCCTATCACATTCATTCCAAGCATCGAATTCACAATGCATACCGGTTGTACCTGGCAAGCAGTAACATTTGTAACTATTTCCGATGATACGACACGTGCCGCCGTTCTGACATGGTTCGGAGTCGCAGTAGGAACCGGTGAATTCGCAATTAGTGCCGTGATAAGCATTATTACACATGCAAACGTGTCTATCGTGTTTGGCAATGCAAAAGCCACCATTCTGACATGGAGAACTATCACAGAAATTCATTTTGACCTCGCAGTGACGGCCCATATAACCCTGTTTGCAATTGCAGTGATAATTGTTGACTAATTGTACGCAGTCCTGTGTACCGGGCGAGGTACACGGATTCGACAAACACTCATTAATATCGCCTTCGCATCTTGGTCCGACGAAACCAGGTGGACATTTGCATTCGAATCCACCCACTTTATCAGTACAGGTACCATTATTGTGGCAAGCGGTCATCGTGCAGTCATCAATGTTAACTTCACATATAAAACCAAGAGTACCGGGCGGACAGGAACATGTAAAGTTGTTGATTAGATCATGACAAGTACCACCGTTCTGACAAGGATTTGGTCGGCAATCATCAATGTTGAGTTCGCAATTCTGACCTTGGAAACCTTTGGTGCACTGACACTGGTACGAACCAATGAGGTCCTTGCAGGTTGCACCATTCTGACATGGCGCCGAGTCACACTCGTCTATCTCTTCCTGACAGTAAGAGCCAGTGTAACCGTCGAGGCAGTGACAACGATGACTATTGCCTATGTTTTCGCAAGTGCCGTTGTTGCAAAGACTGTTCTCTAGTACGCCTTTCCGCATGGCGGCATCTTTGCACGAAACCATCTCTACATCGCATACCTTGCCAGTCCATCCGGGCGAGCAATTGCAATGATACTTGTTCATGTGTTGCACACACGTTGCCTGGTTCTCGCATGGATTTTCAATGCACCAGTCTATGAATTTATCGCATTGCTTACCCGTGTAACCATACGGACAGTGACATGTATAGTATTGTATATGATCATGACAAGTAGCACCGTTTTGACAGGGTGAGCTATCACATTCGTTGATACGATATTGGCAGTTCGAGCCTGTGTAGCCAATCTTGCAGACGCATGTATAGTTGTTAATACCGTCGATACACGTTCCACCGTTCATGCAACTACTGTCCGTACAGTCTTCGTCATTGGTTTGGCAATTAATGCCAGAGAAGCCAAGTTGACATTGGCACGTGTAGGAATTAACATATTCCTTACAAATGGCACCATTTTGACAAGGTTGCGACAAGCATTCGTCGATGTCAACTTCACAGTGTTTGCCACTAAAACCATCGACGCAGAGGCACGTGTAATCACCGACGCCGTCTAGACAGGTGCCGCCATTCTGACAAGGAACTGTGAACAGAAAAAGATTCTCTTTGAGTGTCATACGACGACGTTCATTAAGTGCTTTTAATATAATCCATGCCATCGCGCGATAAAACAGATGACGCTCCATGGACTCGCATTAAGACTCTTAAATGAAAGCGAAAGAAGATCTGCATCTGTAGCAAGTAAGGAAAAAAAGCAAAGAACAGTCGGTGATTCGTACTCACATGATGCACAGTCATCGGTATTGATGATGCAATCACGGCCCTCGTAGCCTTTCGCGCACTGGCAATGGTAAGAGCCGTTGGTGTTCCGGCAAGTGGCACCGTTTCTGCACGGCGACGTCATCACGCACTCGTTCACGTCTTCGTCGCATAGTCTGCCCGTATAACCGACCGTACATGTGCACGCAAAATCGAGGAAGTTCGATGATGGCGAGCATTTTGCCCCATGAAGACATCTGAAAATGACACAGCAACGTTACAAAGCCGTTCTATCATGCGGATCATTCATGAAAATGTGTTTCATCGAAATTAAGAGACACTCTTAAGGCTCCTGTTCTTCGCTACATAGCTATAATTCAATATGATTGCAGTGAAGAAACAGGAATTTTAAAGGGCTGTATGATAAAATCATAATGTCATAAATAAGCTAAAATTCAATACCATATAATACAAGATTTTGTACAAGCAAAATTAATTTAAAACAGTTTATAACATAAATTTATTTTATGTTGTGTTTTTAAAAAAATGATTAAAAATATATTTTTCTTTAAAAGTGTTTCTTTAATGTCTTGAAACTTTACAATTTAAAAAAATTTGTACAAATTCTGTACATAAAATCAGCTCTATAATATTTATTAAATTCAATATAAGATTTTGTAATCTCTGAATATTATGCTCCCATTGGAATATAATAATCCGAAGAGCAATCTTAGAATTTCCCTCTGTACACAATATGCATACGAGAATTTAGCTACATTCATGTATTCTCATAAATAAAATGGGAAACAAGAATCATACTTGTTCGGCGAGCAGGGATCCAGCTTGTCCTCGCAATTCCTGCCGGTGTGGGGCAGCTCGCAGACGCATTTGTAATCGTTAACGAGATCGATGCAAGATCCGCCGTTCTGGCAGGGGTTGTTGGCGCAATCATCAATGTTGGTCTCGCAATTGGTGCCGGTGTAGCCGGGCAGGCACTTGCAGCTGTAGCCATTCAGATGGTCGTTGCACGTGCCACCGTGCTGGCAGGGGTTTGAGCCACACTCGTCGATATCGGCCTCGCACCTCTTGCCGCCGTAACCGGGCAGGCAATGGCAGATAAACTGGCTCACCCCATCTTCGCAAGTACCACCGTTTAGGCAGGGCGAGCTCGCGCACTCATCCACGTCGCTCAGACATCTGGCATCGTAGTAACCACGTGGGCAATCGCATTTGAAGCCGTTTATCAAGTCGACGCAAAGGCCGCCATTCGCACATGGATTACTTGCGCACTCGTTTATGTCGGTTTCGCAGTGTTGACCGGTGAAGCCGGGTTCGCATTCGCAGGAATATCTAAAAGATAAGAAATTGAGTTTGCTGAAAAATGAAAGAGAGCGATAGCAATATGTCGATACAATTAGAGGTTTTACTAAATCGTATCTGCATTCGGATCACTCAGTTGTTGGAATGTCAATATATAATAATTGATTTTTAATGAAGAAGTTTTAAGGTAAAACAATATGCTAGATTCGCGAAACATTTATGGGATATTTAAATTATCATTACTCAAACAGCATGCGTATTCAAAATCGAAATATAAGATATTTTATGTTCCAATTTTAGACTTGCGTGCTCTCTCTTTTGTCTAGATACTATTTTTAATTAATGATTATTTTTAATTAATGATTTATTAATTAATATAATTTATTACTATTTTCAAAAAGATTCATTTTCAATGAGAGTAAAAAAGAAAATTACATAAGTTACTTTTAAATGTTATTGCACATTATAGAATCGAAACTAAGTAGTTCTTTTAATCTAATATTTTTGTCAATTTATCATTCGCACAAGATATATTTAACACATTTACATATTTAACTAAATAAATATATTTAATCAATTCTGCCGAATTTTAAATCCAAAGAAAAAATAATAATTATGTAAAAAAATGATGTATACCAGTCCTGGAATTTACTTGCAATTTTTGGTCGATTTTCAGTTTAGTTCCTCTCTTATCAACAACCTGTGTGCAAATGAAATAAGGAATGGAACTAAGCCGAAAATCGATCAAAAGTTATAAGTCAAAAATCATCCGTAGCAGTTTCTAAAGAGCTGTAATGTTTTAAAAGATAATGAATTGACCAAATGCACAACGTATGTTTTCTTTTTTTCAAATTTACCTGTTGATACCATCGATACATCTTGCTCCGTTTCGACAAGGATTGCTGTAGCATTCGTTGACGTTGACCTCACAATTCTCACCAGATGTGCCCGGTCGACAGACGCATAGATAACCGTCGATACGATCCTCGCATCTACCCCCAAACTGACACGGATTGCTTTCGCATTCGTTGATTTGCGTCTGGCACAGATTACCGGTGAAGCCAGGGGAGCAGTTGCAGGTGAAGCTGTTCTCGCCATCGATGCAGATACCGCTACGACATGGATTCGAGGCGCAGTCATTGATGTTGGTCTCACAGGAGTCGCCAGTAAAACCGGCTGGACATTCGCATGTGTACCTCGCGATACCATCCTGACAAGTACCGCCGTTTTTGCATGGTGACGAGATGCAATCATCGATGTTGATCTGGCAGTGGGTGCCGGTGAATCCCTCAGCGCAGGTGCACTTGAAGGCATTGATGAGATCACTACAGGTTCCACCGTTCATGCACGGCCTTATCGCACATTCGTCTATGTCGATCTCGCATTGAGTTCCAGTAAAGCCTAGAAGAAGAGAAGATTGCAA